AAATCCCTCCAAAGTAGAAATGGTCACCTGGACCTGTTTGTTCGCTTCCTTCATGGTCTGTGTCTGGAGTCCAACCAGAGAATCTTAGGAGACCTGCTGGGTCAGACACACTACAGTCCAGAAGTCATTCCAGAGGTCATTAAAGACCTAAAGGATATGAACACATACAGAGTCTCTCCAGACAGAAGCATCAACATCTTCCACTGTCTGACAGAGTTGAAGGATCAGTCAGTTCATCAGCAGATCCAGGAGTTTCTGAAGTCACAGAACAGAGACCAGGAACTCTCTGAGATCCAGTGCTCAGCTCTGTCCTATATGCTGCAGATGTCAGAGGAGGTTCTGGATCAGTTGGATCTGCACCAGTATAAAACATCAGTGGAGGGAAAACGGAGACTGATCCCAGCTGTGAGGAACTGCAGGAAGGCTGGGTGAGTTAGTGATCAATCACTATTGATCAGTCAGTGTTCAGTTTATGGGTCATAGGTGGTTAAAGGAGAAGTGCAGTGAATGTCAGCAGGTACCTGTGTTGGTACAGGTGTGTCTTTATAACTCTGTGATAGAACTAATGATCCAACATGGTCAGAGATTTTCCTGCGTTAAAAATCCCACTTTTTGAGTTTTTAACTGCTGATTAAAATTCTTGGCTGAAAACCAAAAGAAATTATTATGCCAATTATTAGTACCATTGCATTTATGGCTATGACTGTGAACTAAATCTCCCAAAAAATCAGAGAACCAGGGTCCCCGCCCCTCTTCTGGAACACTGCTCTCTTTCTTCTGCACTGTGAGCTTCTCCGTCTTCAAACCGGTTCTCCACCAAACATCGCGGCCCAGATCCAGATAGAGCTCAGTGGACTTTTCACTCCCTCTTGAAATTTCAGCATTATACGTATGTCAAATCTCTATCCGTGGGTTTCTCTCAGAAATATTGAAATACGTCCATTCCGCAGACATGTTGGTACTTGTGGCAAGTCGTTTTAACATAGTCATAGCCTAGTCAAAAAGAAAAAGATCTGACAAGCCCGCACTGAGTCTGAGGTGAGTTCACTGACTGAAGCTGCAGTTCATTTATTTGATTGACATTCAAGTCATTTTGTCCAGTGATGAATCAAATCAAGTCTCTGGTCCTGGTTTGACTCAGTTCTTCAGACTTGACTGGGTCAGATGTTGAAGTTCCTGCTTCATCACAGGCTCTGATGCTGTTGAGTGTCTGTTGGTGACTGAAGCTGGCTCTCACATGAAGCTGCAGACTTGACTTGGATCAGTCAGTGAGGATATAAGTCTGATCCAGCTGCTGAGGACTGAAAAAAACAGATAAAGTGAACATACTTTATATAAATATTATATGTTGGGGTACTGGTTAAATGAAGCTCTTTGGCCCAAATTATTCAATTCTTACACTATATGGTCACTACTACACACTCTAGAATTGTATTTACCCTATATTTGTTTTGTTTTTTTCTTTTGCTCATGTTCTACCAGCACTCCCTCTCAGCTACTTATTGGTCACCTCTGCTGTGAAGCAAATATTTGGTGAAGGTGGGATAATGTTTTGTATCCCATGCTGTGACAAAGCAACAGATAAAAGATGATTAAAAAGAGTCCAGTCCTCTAGACTGAATTTCTGTCTCTTTTCCAAAGTACAGTGGGGCTTCAAGATACAAGCTACTCAAAATACCAGTTTTACAAGTTACGAGTAAGCAACTTTTGCAAGATTTTCCTCGTGATACAAGCAAAGATCAATTTACAAGTGTTCAACTGAGCTCCGTTTTTTTTACCACTCAACACTGTCTCTCACTAGGTTATTTTACCCGTCGCTTAAAT